TTTTCCCCCCCCCCCGCAGTCACTGCATACAGCAGATTCTAGAAAGCGTAAATCATTGCCACGTAAACGGCATAGTGCACAGGGACCTGAAGGTTAGTGAGTCCTGACGGAGTCGGTAAAAAGACGCAGGCCTGACCACCGTTAGCTCCTTTGGCTCCTTTGGCTCCTCGCTTCTCCACTGCCTGACCAGTCGGCCACTTAATGCCAGCGCACGCAGCACACGTGCACAGCCACGTTCTGACCCGCTGACCAGCTGAGACCGGGAGGGGGGGGGGAACTGGAAGTGGACCCTCATTTTATAAGGCACCCAGAGGAAAACCTTTTTGCTCAGGATAGTCTTTTCTTTGTCTCTCAATTGAATATCTTTATGAGATTTCTTCAATCTGAATTGTGTATCTTTTTGAGATCACCTCGATCTGAATTATTGCTCCTAAACCCCCCCTTAGGATCAAAATTGAGATATTGTGAGAATGACTTTTTGAGACTTGTAGGAAAAAATGTTAGTCATAGATAAGATCTCATCATTGCATCTTTTTTATTTCATTCATGTCTTGCTTATTGCTCCTAAAAAGCCGGTTGGAGCACTAAAGAGTTAAAATACAGATCTCAATTGCCTGTCTTCTTGAGATCACCTCAATCTGAATTATTGCTCCTAAACCCCTCCCCTTAGGAGAAAAACTGAGATAGTGTCAGAATGAAATGGAGCCAACTTTTTCAGAGGCTTCTTTAAAAGGTGGATTTTGTATTATATCCATTTTGAATCCATTTAACGCAGAAATAAGAGGGTGAAAGTGTGCATGAGCGTGGGAAAAGCACGTGTCCTCCTGCCTCTCTCCAGCTGGTCAGGACCTAACACCTCTTCTGTTTTGAGACCTGAGCAGAGCGCTGACCATGTGCGCGCGCACGTGGAACCATAACAGCTTTGCTGCTAATGTTTCCGCCTATGACGCGTGCAGAAATGTGAATCGGCCGTGGTTTATTTGACTAAACGGCGCCTGATTTTAAGCCCTGCGGCTGCCGGTCACCACGGCGCTGCCCGCTGGTCAGCGGCAGTGGTGGAGAAAGTACTCATACAATGTACTTAAGTAAAAGTACAAATACACAAAAGACAAAAATGTACTCAAGTAAAAGTCAAAGTACCACATTATTATTTTACTTAAGTAAAACTACAAATACACAAAAGACAAAAATTTACTCAAGTAAAAGTCAAAGTACCACATTATTATTTTACTTAAGTAAAAGTAAGAAAGTACAAGCTTTTAAAACTACTTAAGTATTAAAAGTAAAAGTACTTGCCAACCATAATACCTAACGGCTTATATAATGTCATTAAGTGTACCTATCGTATTTAGT